TGCACCAAGATCGTTTGTGAGATTGACGTGTGTCAGGTAGTGGCGACGTTTTAACACCACACGTCTGCCATGCCATTCTCTTTAGTATTAAGAAAGAATTAAGAACTAAGGATGACACTATAATGGAATATCTTTCATTGTTTTTTGCTTGTTGTAAATCACCTTCATTAAAAAAAAATTATTTTTCGATCAAAATGTTTATCTGCTAAGTGATCTTCAGCACATTGAGCGAAGTAAAATCGTATATATTCCTCCGAACTCATTAGCGAGTTTTCCACAAGCTGCCTAGAAGGTGAGTTTTAGATGTAAGTTTTATTTAATTTTAATTAATTTAATTTCGATGTAAAAGGTGCTCCGCGATGTGGAAGGCCAATTATCAAAAGATGTCGATAATTTAAAGGAAATCGTCGAAGCGGACCGTCATGCGAGCACAGTTTCAATTCCTAGAAGCTAAACATTGCATAAAAATAGTTTGAAATCAGTTGAAAAAGACTGGAAACATAAAGAAGCTGGATGTGCGGATGTCACATGAGTTAGCGAGAAAAAACTCATAGACCCACTTTCCCTCTGTAAATCGTAACAAAATCCAGCCACTTCTGACTGGTATTTAAAAAAGGATCACTTAAAGCAAAGTCAATTGAAAGCTGTGGTTGTTGAAGGGCAGTGAAACGGTACAAACAGTCTCCAAGTCAGAATTGACGTCTTCGGCACTTTAGGACTCATCATTCATTTTGAGCTGCGAAACTCTTAATTTGAACCTGTGCTGTCAACAATGGATCAACAGGAGGGGAATTGTGTCTCATCACGATGACACCAAGCCACGCACACCGATAGTGATTCGCCAGAAGCTTCGAGTGCTTAACTGGAAGAATCTTATGCATCCGCACTTTGCACCACCTGTTCTTGTCTTTGGCGAAGAATTTGGCTGGTGAGGATAAGGCCTCAAAAACAGATCGGGAAAATCGAGTGTCCTAATATTTTGGCAAAGAAGACAAGCGTTTACAAGAGAGGCATAATGACATTAGCTTTATAATGTCAAATTTTCATTGCGCGAAATAACGGTTGACTTTTTACTTGACTCAATGCCACTGTGTGGTATCTTCATATCGTCAAACTGGTGTCAATAGATTGTGCAACGAGACGAATTTCTTTAATTCACAATTGATGAATTAACTTTTGGGTGTTGGCCCGAACGAAATATACACAAATTTCGACCTCAGTCTTCAAGCTTGTTTGTAATTTGACGATAAGATCATACATATATGTACATACATATGTATATGTAATATGCGTACGGATATGTGTATATACGTACATGCATTTAAAAAAATTAGCACTCTCTTTGAAGTGTTCACTAAAAATCAACATTAAACGTTAGCAGAGGTTTACGTAATAGCAATAAAAACTTTTTGCGCAAAATCAAGTTTAAGGAAAGTCACTAAATTCAGCTTCAACATACTACTCACAACATTAATTTGCATTTACGAGACTGTTGTTTGATGTTTTTTTTTTTGTTTGTATATTTTTATTTAATAATAATAAAAACAGGATTGACGCTTTCGAATAAATAGTTGGTAGTAAATTTGGTACGAGAATAATGATAATATGCGACAATAAACTTAATTCATCAGCTTGTACAGTCATTAGCTGCACTTGTATGTATGTATGTACGAGTATGTGTGTTTAAGTACTGCAGTGGTCTCACGATAGCGACAGCTAAATACTCACTTCGATTCAAATGTCAAATAATTTTTATTACCTGCTTATATATTATATATTATAATTTACTCAAATGAATTTAACACTTAGGTATAAATACATAAATTTATGTATGCTTTGAAATTAATTAAAACTAAACACTCATTAACTCCATCCTATAATTAACGCAACACGTCTTTTGATGCTTATGACAGTTGCTTGCGGGAGCGTCGTAATTGAAGAAACTACAACAAGGAAGTATTTGACTTATTTTATATACATACATACATACATGCATACATACATACATATATATATATATATTCAGAAGAAGTTGGCAAAATTCGTGTGAGCATAGACAACAACACTTAGTTACTATTTCTAAACATTTTTGTCAGCTTAATTGAAGATCATTTAACTAAGAGGCAACAACACCCGGATGAATTCAAAAACAATATAACGCGGAATAGTGAGTATGCAGTTAAGCCTGGAAGGCTATACCCGATTCTTTTTCTATCTTCCTAGCCGCGCGTGCAGTGAACGTAAAAAAGCCTAGAGTCAGTAGAGAACCGGCTTCATTGCGCAAAAGAGTCTTTTTCCAGCGCTTATTTAAAAGTGGTCCACTCCTAGCTGGGCGTCAATCATGAGCAAAGCGGCTCGTTGTACAAAAATTCGATTTGAGGTCATGTTCGACCTATTAATTGGGAACGAGTCGCAGCTAGATGCTTGTGACACATCCTGCTTGTGACACATCCTGCTTGTGACACATCCTGCTTGTGACACATCTAGCTGCGACTCGTTCCCAATTAATAGATCGAACATGATTTCTAATCGTATTTTTGTACAACGATCCGCTTTACTCATGATTGACGACCACTCCTCACTACATCATGAGAAGCTGTTCGATGTCGAATTCGGGGTAGGAGCCAAAGAGAAATTCAGTCGCAGAATACTGACATTAAAGCGAAGTTCTTCAACATTTCGCTGATTTGGGTCGACGCCCCGATTAAAGCGAGAGGCGTTGTGACCAAAAATAATTTTTATACGGCCCACTGAGCCCAACACAAAGTGCTCCGTAGCTATCAATGATCACTTCCTTGACTTACTTGAAAATTGCTGTATACTATGGTGCGTGTCTTGACTAAAACGCCCATCCTCTGAGCGATGATGTGGAGTACCTTACGACATTTGCATTAAATCATGCCAATCTAATCTTTACTGCTCTGCTTAACCCTGTGCCGGGAAGAGCTCTCATATCGGTGATGATAGGTGATTTTGGACGCATGTTATTTACGCTACGCCGCGTTGTCTAGTGATTATTGTCTATGCTGCTGAATGAGCCTTCCCGTCACAGTCCTAAGAGCGGTGTCCTGACACGCTTGTAAATTCTTTAAATGAGTCTCAGAGCAACGCAATTTACGACGATTTCAGATGCTGTCGGCTAACGAATTGATCGTTTTGTTGCCGCTCTGCACTTAAGAGGCTATTGCAGTTGCATGCGGATTTAAGGAACGCAGGCTGTCGTTGTTGGCTCCCAATATCTTTGAATTAATAGTTGTTGAAAATTTTGCGCCATAGACGTTCACATCCAGTTGGACAGAGTAGGACTAATGATAACCATAATGTAGGCTTTGGCAGCGGGCTTAATTTTTCTCGCTTAAAAATTCCGTTGTCACTTTGATTGAGATTTCACTTTATCGCCAACAAAAACTTCCATATCAAAACTACTGGTCGGTAGTTAACAAAACCATTGACGAAGCACGCTTCAAATTTTTTCTGAACAAAAGATGATTGTACATTTCTGAAACCTCATGCCCAATCTCGCACAATCATCTCAAGTAGATTTGAAAAAAAAAAAAAAAATTTAAATGTTTATGAGCTTTTTTGTTTTTGAACAACGCGCATGTCCACAATCATAATATCGTCGTATCTCTTATATCTAGTATTTTATTTAATTATTATTTTTAAGTTTTTTTTTTGAAGTGAAAGTAAATTTATACAAAATTATGTTAAGTTATATAGTGGCAAATGAATAAAAATTATTCAATGAAAAGAAAAGTGAATAAATATTCAATATTTCTCAACAACAACACAATGGAAAATGACCAAAAGGAAAAGAAATTTTTAAATCAGTAACAACGCATAATCAAAACAACTTAAATAATAGGTAGATAAAATCAGAGCAGACAAAGTCGAAAGAGAATATAAAGAAGAAGTGCAAAAAGAAACAGCATGAACAAATTACACAAATATATGTATATAAAAATGTAGAAAAAATGTCAACATTAAACGATAAAAATGTATATAAAATAAACGTTGGAAGAAATACCAAAATAAATTACAAATTAACAAAAAAAGAAATGAGGAAAAAACGTCTCTGAAACGCAGCGTAACAAAAAATGCTAACAAGAAAACTTTCACCGATTTCTTAAAAAGCGTAAAATGATGCGATGAAGCATCCAGCATATCGGCGACATGACCAGCAGCAAGTCATGAGGAGCAGTGGTATGGAGTGTGTTATTGTATGACAAGTTAAACTGCGACAAATATACAAACCGATTCTGTATCCACTCATAATAAATCGATGCTCGAGCGCCTCACCGTTATTCTGGTCAAGTGAGAAAATTTATCTGTCGGATAAAATTAAATAAATAAAAACTATAACGCAAAATACGCTGAGGAATGCGGCTGGTAAATGGCCGAGGATTTAAGGGCAAGTGGCTAAATCCAGCAGTAGCAGCGAAGAAATGCAAAGCGCATCATGTAAGAAAGTAGAAAAAGTGGAAAATGTAGAAACACAAAAATTATTACTTGCGCCAACTGCAGTGGAGTTAGCGCGTAATACCTACAACCGGTTATAAATGACAACCTGAAAAGTTGAGATATATATTACGTAAATGAGGACAGCTGAAAGGAAGCCGCTGATAGAGCATCGGTACAGATAAGAAGTTGACCGAAAAATGTTGTAAACTGGATTTTTATTAGTATTTCCTTCATCAGTCTGTGTGACACTCAAAATGCTCAGTTCTTTATTGCAATTTTACCACTTAAATAAATAACAAATATATAAATAATGCGGTTTGTGAAATAAATAACTTAAAACTATTGTATATATTTTTTAATTTAATTTAATTTAACTTTATTTTATTTTATTTTATTTTATTTTATTTTATTTTATTTTATTTTGTTTTAGTTCCTTTTATTTTAATTTATATCATTTTATTTTATTTTATTTTATTTCCTTTCATTTTACTTTATTTTGTTTCATTTTATTTTGCTTGGTTTCGTATTTAGTTGGTTGCTTAATTACGCATTTCCCCCGCAACTTTCTGCTCTCTTTGGATATTGCGCTGCAACCAACCGCGATAAGCCATTCCCAAAGAATCAGTGCCGCTGCGTCTGCGTCGCATGTGATGGTGTCCTTCACTCGTTAAATACTGCACACTATGGCTGCTCTCATGACCATGTTGCATTAATGATTTTAATCCTACCAACCCCGCCATCATCAGGGCAGTCATTGCAACGCCGAGCGCCTTCATTGCCATCGCGCCAATACCACCTAAGCCCATCACTGCCAGCATTTTGCCAAACATCAGTGCCATGGCTAAAATCACGCCTTGTCCTTTGTCTTTCTTGCGTGCCTCTGTTTGTTTGAAATGAAAAAGAAAAGAATTTGTATTCGAGGTTGATAAGACAAATAGCGCAATTTAGCTAAGCTATTTAAGTGTTTACTTTATGAATATAACAGTCATGAAACTCGTAAAATATTAAACAACTTGCTTGGTCTTCGTGAATACAAAACACTTTGAAGCTCATTAAATTCAATATGGAATGGTTAAGCGAGCAGCTTATGCCAATTTTCATAATTCACATTAATATCTCTAATTATTTTGCGCCACAAATTAAGGGGCTCTTATTGGCATCAAAAAGTCCAAGAATGTTTTTGTTACCACAATCCTTTTATGAAACTAAAGTAAACTTTTAGTAAAACAGAAATTCATAGGCAAGATTTCAGTAAAGTGATGTGACAAGTTTCTTATTGGTAGATCGAAAGCTCTGATATAAAAATTTTCTTTTTTGTGCTGCATTTCTTTTCTTGAAAAGAATTTAAGAATGGTTAAAAAAAATAATATTTTCAGACATTCTGACATTCCTTATTCGTCAATCTTAGTGAAACCATGGCACTCCTTACAGTATTTCCAAGTCTTTGAGATTGTTCTGAGACTTTAAACCAAAATGCTCTTCTATGCTATAAATTCGCTATTCGTTAGGTAATCAAGGCTTTAACCTCAGCATTTTTGTTTTACTAGAGTTTAAATCAGTTGCACCAGGTAATGTAGGAATACACAAATTGAACTAACTCCGCATAACAACGAAGTCGCAGTTTACTCGGTACAAAACAGAACCACCAATGAAATATAATTTTTTAGGAATGAGATAAATATATAGTGCATAACCTTCAAAATACAGTTAAAGTACTAACAAGAAAGAAGGCTATCTACGGCCATGCTCTAGTCTAAATATATTTTTCATCACTATATCAAATTTATTTTAGCATTAAGTATTAGAATCATTTTTACACTCTGAATTCGGCCCGGCACTGACAGCAATCGGACCATATGAGGGGAGTATTCGCCTAGAAGCGCCCAGTTTTGGCGAAGAGAAGGGAAATTGAGTTTCATTAGGACAACGCCAGGCCACACACATCGATAGTGACTCGCCAGAAGCGCGGATAGCTTGGTTTTGAGATTCTTATGTATTCATCTTATAATCCGAATCTCACATCAAGTGATTGGAAAAAATTTATCGGGTATATGAATATATGAACAATTTTTTTGGCGAAAAAAAATAGGAAAGTTTGCTTCACATATCTCAAAATTTAATGAGTGGCTCTGCTATAAACAGACGAACAGGTGGACTGACTAAAACAACTCAACTCGTGATTCTGATCATATATGAGTAAGCTTGGTGGGTCTATGGTTCTACTTACATACCTCGGATTAAAGTTAACATGCCATTTAGTGTTTATGAAAGGTATAGAACAGCTCAATTCATTGGAAATTCTTGCAATAGAGGACGATTTTTCCGCGGTTTTAGCCATTTTAAAGGACACCCCAAGAGTAGTAGTTTGTTAGTAAGGCCGAAGGAAATATCGTTCAGTTTGTATTTTTGTGTAATTCTTTAGCAAAATTTCTTAATCAAAAATCAATAAAAATAAAAAAATAAGTGTGTTGTGCCTCCTCCTGGTAAAACGATGTATGAACCCTTCATTGTTTTATAGAAAAATTATGACGCTTTTCCTGATCTTGAGAACCAATCTTGGAAAATCTGGCTCAATTCCACTTTTTAGAAGAATTCCACAGCAAATGTTATATATTTATATTTTTAATTTAACAACTCTAAAATTTTTGGAACTTTTTCTCCTTGATTTCACTGTTTCATAGAACTTTTCATTCATTAGTTTCACTTAAAATTGAAGCTTTTCAAGTTATTTGGTCAATACCCACCACCTTGACTGCCATCAGCTTGGGTTTGACCGTTTCGCGCTAAATCATAAGCCAAATAGCGCTCACTCTCGTCGGCAAGCAAATCGGCAAAATTAATATTCAATTCGTGACTACGCAAATACTCCGAAACACAACCCAAAAAGGATTCGTCCCCATCGAGCGTGGACTCTGTGGATGTGACACTGTTCTCCGATGCGATTGGCACAATTTCAAGACCACGCATCAACACTAACGGCTTATCGCGACGATTTAAATTCTGAATAACATTGCGAATTGCACGCGAACCACGACAATAAATCGAATCCGAATCGAGTGAGTTCGCCAAACAATCGGCGGTTACTTGGCTTGCGCCACTTGGACGTGGCGTATTGGTAAAACTCTCACGCGTCGGTTTAACCAAATAAGGATCCGGCAAGCTGGGTGTAACTGTATCCATATTTTCACTTGCAACAACGCTGGTATGTATACCGAATACATAGAGTGTGCAAACTAAGAAGGCGAAGGAATTGTAGTGAAGCAGCCACATTTTGAGAATATTACAACTACGTGTATTTTTTTGTTTTTATCAAAACTGAATGTGATTTTAAAAAGTTCCGTTTACTTTTGCGTTGTATGACCGAAACCGTGTTGCCAGAAGAACTGCTGCAAATTTGTTACAATTTAATACTAAAGCGTTTGCCAAGCACTACTCTAGATTTTATAGAAATTTTACAGCTGTGTGTGATCCTATTCCGCCGGAACGTCGTATGGGCATAAAGTTATAAACAAACAATCAAGCAAAACGAAAGTCCACATAATTACCTGCTACGATTCTCCACTTGAAATTACACCGCAAAATGCAAAAGAAGAAAATGGAAAAAGTAATAGGGGAGGGGGGAATAGGAAATAGAAAGGCTCTGTCCGGCCAACCTTCCAATCACCCAAACCAACCATTTCATATCTACTGCGTTTTTATGAGTACTAAATTTTTTTTATTTTTTCAAGTTCCCTACAGTGTAATTTTCCTCTTGAGTGGATTAGAAAGATTTCCCATTTTGAACGCTTAATTGGCCCAACATACACACACATACACACATTCGCAGCATATTCACATGTTGATTAGCTCGTACGTACGTTGAGTAAAAGAAATGTCTCTATTTCAAGGTCTCGGCAATCAGTAGCAAACATAGCATGACAATATTCTGAATCAGCAGCAAATGTTAGCAATAATAAAGTGTGGAAAATTGCAGGGGCCGTAAAACGCTTTGATAGACCAGGCAATTTTGTAGCTTGAACTAGGTTTGTAAGTTAGTAGTTTGTCTTTCAGGTAGCTAAAATACTGTTGTTTACCAACAAATTACAGCTTTGTGGTTTCAACGTTTTCCCATTCAATCTATACGTACATGCTTTCATTTTTGTTTCTACAGTCTCTGAACCTTCTCTTTCAAAGAAAATGGTATTTACATGAAATGGCTATTATTATCACTCTTCTGAAGTGGTTTGATTCCAGCAGTAATTTAAATTTGAAGGGTTCTTCGTCTGCTGCTATGATTCTCCAATCATTTGTCGTTTTAGGCAGTGAATAAAAAATGTATTCCCTTTTATCGCCCGAGTCAAATGACCTCTCTACTGGAGCATCTTCAACCATGCGGACGACATGTCATAGCCACCGTAGGCGTTGTATCTTTATGCGCTTGACTATGTTCATGTGATTATAGAGCTCATATAGTTCTTAGTTTCATTTTCATCCATACCCTTCCATTACGAAGACGGGATCATGGTACAATAAGTCTCAAAGACCATTCTCCTTTTTGTACATCATCGTTCTGTGCCATACAAAAGGACGTCATAATAAGAGATTTAAATGAAAATTCAAAGAGCGCTTTAAAGAGCGTAATTTAGACTCGCTGTGAGCGGTTCTTGATTCTTCCTTTACCTGCCGAGCCGAAAGTAGCCCCGAGTATTAAAGATGTTAAATAAGAAGTGCATTAATTTGAGACAAGTATTGATATTACCTCGGTTTCAATTAAGAAATCTCAACTATCCTTAATATTTCAAAATTCCAATTTCCTTTCAGTGAATGATTAGGTTATGTATAGAAGTTTATGCTTGCGCGGAAAGATTTAGACTGTCACTCACCTGTGCCCAGTGAAGTCTCTTTTGCATGTGGTTCAACTCACTACTTCGGGTTTTACACCTCTTGGCAGCAAACAAAGATCCATTTGGAGGTGAGATAAACTGAGAAGGCGAATCCACGACGGCTGGGCGAAGGATTTGAGACCTACAATATGAAAAATTAACTTCAATAAAAGATGGAAACGAGTCTCTATATAGTGTAGTTCCTTCAATTTGATGACGGAGATGTTAATAAGAGATTTGTCGCTAAATAGTTAAGGTTTAATTTTTTACAACAGTCTACAACTGCTGGCGTATGCCGAAGATATTCATATCTTAGACTTTAATAACCGCGCCTTAGTTCCACTTTCTCCAGACTTGATAAAGAAGCAAAACGAATGGGCCTGGTAGGAAGAGCAAGACGAACTATTTTCTGCCTTCTAACAAACTAGAGACCAGCATTTACACTAGTAAAAGATTTAGCCCTAAAATCCAATGCAGAATCACCCTAGTAAACATGTGTTATTTTGTACTGAGTTCAGAATTGAAAAGTGTAGTCCTTTCTCGACGAACAAAAACCAAACAAGCCGCTCATTGCTCCCGTCCTACTATATGGTGCAGAGGTATGGACGGTGTCGACGTCTCATGAGTCGGTCTACATATCCTTCGGGTGAAATGTTTTGCTAACGATTAATGTTAATTTGCATTGCGCAGAAGATGGATCGATGAGCAGTACGAGATGACATTGATATATGTTGTAGCTGTAGGAAGCAGATGAAGAAGAAGACATCCACTCTGTTTGGAAGGCGCGCTATTCTCTATTTGGGTATAACCGCTTAATGCTCAGCATACAAGTAAAGAATCAACAGAACAACTATGAATTACTGACCGCAAACGTGATCCTAGATATATTGTGAAATTGTGATTGAGGCACTAGTAGGACTGGCTTACATTCAGTATTGCATGAACATTTCACTGTAAAAATATTGTTCACGTTGGAACCCAAGCAATTTTCCAATCACTTCAAAGAAGACTCGTGTCAATTGGCCTAGCGAAATATGAACTAAATATTATAGCTCTAGATACCCAGGTATAGAGCACTGTGATAAGTAAATAGTATTTCAGTGAATTTCACACTTTACATAAATAAAATTAAAACTATAGAAAAGAGAGTTCTGAGAAAAAAGTAAAAGTCTTTATTCAAAATTCTCGAATTGCTCGAGCTCTAGCTCAAAAATTTTTGAGCAATAAAAAATTAAGGAAAGTGTGTGCACTCGTTGCTTTAATTCTCGAGCAGCTCGAAAATATTCGAATAAACTCTTGAGCTCTACTAAATACTAGAACGATGCAGAACAATAAGTCTCGAAGGGTTCAATATATCGATTTACGGGGCACACCTAGTGTAATGGCATAAAAAAGTTGATTTTTGGGAATTTTTTATTAAAAAAACACTTCATCAATTGTTTCAAAATTTTAAGAATATATCAATACACGTTTCAAGAATATACAGTGAAATTTTTGAAGAAAAAAATTAAATATTTTTTAAGTTATGATCGATCTCCAACGGCGCGAAAAAAGGGTCCTTCGCTGGTGCAGTGATTCCGGCCTTCTCCATGGATGAAATCTAAAAAAATTCTCTTTAAACTAGATAATATTGTATGTACAATGACCTACGATAAAAAATAAAGAATTGACAATATGGCGGAGTTTAAAAAAAAAAGGTCGAATTTAACTCAAAATTTTATTCGTTTTAGGCCTGCCAAAATTCGATTTTTTGATCAGATCAAAAATCGATAGGTCATTGTACGGAGAACTATATATAGAACATGTTTAAAAAATTCGATAGTGATTGGATCATTTTGTTTTTGAGTAACCACTGCAGCAAATTCGGAAAATGCTGTTTCGAGAAAAACGCATTTAAATCTTTAAAATGATCGTGTTCACTCGTAGCTAATGAGACTCTGTAGCTGCCGAGCGGCTACTCTTTAATTTGATATAACTCAAAAACTATTTGAGGTATCGATTTGAAATTTTAAAATGTTATTTTTAAGGGTGTAATCTACTAAAAAATTATTTTTAAAGGTGCAAACCGGGATCAATTTTTTTGAAATTAGACACTAGGTGTGACCCTCATTTTTATATTGTTGACTTTGTCTTGAATAACTTATTTTTGTTTACAATTAAAAAATTAATTATTTAAAGGTATATAAAAATTTAATTAAATAGTTCATAATCAGAAGATCTTCTTCTTAAAATTCTCATATCGTGGAATTTTCTAAAGCAGAAACAAAAAAATATCGAACTTTGCTGAACCATACTATTTTAATTTTGTGTTGCTTTTGTAAATAAAATAAATTTCTTAAAAAAAATGAGCAAGTTCTTAAACTCATTCGAATTTGACTGTCTCTCATAACCCAATTTATTTCCTTTTTCTATTAATAACATTTTTTCTTACCGTAATTATGCCGTTTTTCATTCTTCATCAGCCACCTGTAATGCGTGCGATTAACTGGACTGGAATACATTGATTCGCGTACCTTTCCCTCTAAAATAGATCTCATTAAAGCATTTATGTACAAATTATTTAAATGGCGAAGCCAAAGAAAAAATCCAAATTTAGGAAAACAGCGAAAGCTGGGAACGCACACAGCAAATACCAATAACACAGCCAACTACGTCCACAAACTCTTATGGGAAAATTATGAAGCAGTGCAAGAGTTATGAGAAAAGACCAAACAGATTATTCAAACAAATGCTGAATGACTTGCCATTTGGCTTTATTACAAATAATTTGCATTTTAAAATCAACAGTCCGAAGTTTGAATAGATGAAAGTTAAGACAAAAGTAAATACAAAAAAAAAAAAATTAAAAATGCGGGGGCAAGAGAATTAAAAAAAATGTGCTGAGAAATTGAAGTTACTCGACCGCTACTGACCAACTTAGCTGGTCTTGTATGATCGAAGCTTTTGCAAATGAGAATGAAAGTGAACGCGGTTAAATTCTCAACCGTTAAGCAGACATTCATACCTTCGTTAAAAGTAAGTGCAGTTGCGGCAGAGAGTGAAGCTTAGGAAAATGTTAAGTCTTCTGCCTGTTGCTTATAATTTATTTAAAGGTCACACGCAAAGGCTGTACATGTTTTATAAATTTCTTTAATTACCTCGTTTGTTATGTCTATAACCCGAAATATTGTAATATTCCAAGAAGCCGTAAGTAAAGTTTTTAGGCGAAAAAAAATCTTAGTGCAACATCGAAATATTAATAAAGCGTCTGCCTTCTTTTTTGTTAAACAGCATAAAGCAGATGAGCGTAAAATTTTTGAAATATAATTAAGGATTTAAAAACGAATTAACATAAGCGATAAGCATTTAAGTAATACAACAACAAACAAATGAGAGCTCTCTAGCAATTTTAATGTTGCTGTTAGGTGC